GGAAGACCCTGGACAAGATGGATTGACAAAGTGACTGTGGCAATGGGAGCAGATGTGTCAGAGACAATGAGACTGGCTCAGGACAGGGCAGAGTTCAAGAACTATTGTTCATAGGCTCTCTATGAATCATAGTTGACTTGATGGTACATAACAACAACGATCAAGAGGGGACAGTCCTTGGGAAAAGACATGATGTTTGGAAAAGTGAAGGAGAGGAAGACACTCAACAAGATAGACTGACAGTGATTGCAGCAGAGACTGTGAGGAAGGCACAGGATTGAGTAAGTTTCGATAGAGTTGCTATGAGTCAGAGTCAACTAGATAGCACCACCAACAACTAAACATATAGGTTTGTTTTTCCTGATAGCATCACTGTCCAAGGACTTATGGAGTTCTTACTCCATGAGCAAAGAAGCCTGTATAACATTGAATCAGGCCAAAGGACATAAGTTATGTACAAAATTGATCATCATATACCATATACCATCTATTGATCTGACAGAGTGATGGAAAATCTTGTTGAAATCACAGTTAAGAACCAATCTTGGAGGTGACACCATGGGAGAATGGGGCATTATTGCCGAAAATGCAGTTTGTTGTTGTTGTGTGCCATTGAATTGGAACCAACCCATAGCTGACCTTCCAGTAGGTAAGCAAATCACAAGGGAGGAGACAGTCCATACTTCTCCCTTGGTACAGCAGGTAAATTCAAACTGCTTGCCTTTGGAATTGCAACACAGCTTCTTATCACTAGGCAACCAAGCTCCTGTATGTGCAATGTTCCTAATAGTTAGACTACATGGATTTAAGAACTCAGCAGCTACAGAAGGAGTGGTCAAGCCTATCATCATTCTCAGTAATCTACTTTTAGTATTTGTATTTCCTGTTCCTTTGGGCTTCTGTAGAGTAACTCTGTAAATGATAAACTATGGCTGATACAAAATTTCTCATATCATGGGACATGAAAAGGAGTCACTAATCATCCAGAGCTATGGTTTTTGTGTACCATCGAGTATGAATTTATAGACAGCTGGCCTTCTGGTGGGTTTTCAGAGGCAGGAAAGACACACGGGAGGAGATTGCCTATCTTTCTCCCATGGAGCAGCTGGTGGATTTGAACTGCATGCCTTTGGGATTGCAGTGCAGCTTCTTGCCACTAGGCTACCAGAGCTCACTGACTCAATGGTACACAACAAAATAATCATCAAGAGAAGGTAAGAGGAATATGCCTGGCACACATGTGGTGCATTTTAGTATCCCTTGGTATTCCTTGCTTGATTTTGCTGAGAAATACACTAATGCAGATGCCACAGACCTTAGGCCTCTTAAAGACAAGGGGATGGATCAATCAACAGGTAAGCTACTGAGACCAACAAAAGGGCTACTGAGAGTGAGTGAGGGAAATCTAGAATGTTTGGTAGAAGAATGAAACAATATTTATGGCCTTTTAAACAACTTATTGTCTCACTAACCTTGCTCCTTTAAGTTTCCCCCACAAAACAAGAATCCTGGAAATGTTGTTCCCAGATGAAGAGAACCTACTATAAAAAATCAAGTAGATCTGGGAAGCACAAGTGGCAAAACTGTATATTCCATTCAGATAATAACTTTCTCCTCAATTTCAGGTCTTCAAGTTTGCCCTGCTTTCAAGTTTCTGGGAATATCTATTGTTGAAAGCTTACAATTGTCCATCACTGAGAACTGTGTTCTGCAGGGATTTGAAACTTGCTTCACTCAACATTATGACTCCTTCCAGGGAGCACCCTACAGACTGATTGATGCAGGATAACAAAAGTCTGGCCACCATACCTCAATTAGGAAGTAATCAGAATGATAAGGTTTGATAGGAGAGGCATCAGACTATAATCAGGTAAGCACTTCATTAAAGAGCATACAACCATTTACTCGAAGTTGAAGTCTCTAAAGCCTTTATGGTTCTGAATGTCTGCAAGTTGATGATATAGAGGTCTCTGTTGCCCACACTACTGGCTTAGTGGAAGTAGATCCTTTGTCCAATCAATTCTACACATGACAGGCACTAGGTAAATATTTGCTAGATTGATTGGAAGAAAATACTGGATTTTTTTTTGCTGATATAAAAGGAGGCTTCTGAGATAGATAAGGGGAAGGTAAAATTTTTCATTAAAATCAACAGATGTTCAATAAATGCTCTTGGACAGATTTTCATTCTCTCACATTTTCATAAACTTGGAACTGACTCATGGCTGATCCTCCAGTGAGTTTCCAAGATTGTAAATCACATGAGAGGAGAATTTTTTGCTAATCTTTCTCCCTTGAAGCCACTCCTGGGCTTAAATCATCAGACAGATGCAATCTTTGAGTTGGCAGCACAACTCTTTACAGACTACACCACCAGCTTTCTGTTGGGCAGATTAAAGAGCAAAATAGAAAACACTGGAGTTGGAATGGGAAACTTGAGAATAGCAATTGTGAATTTGGAAAGATACAAAACCTTCACTATTTGTTGTTGTTGTTACGTTATTATATGCCATCAAGTCGGAACCAACTCATAGCTGACCTTCCAGTGGTTTTTCAGAGGCAGTAAATCTTGTGACAGTTGACTGCTCATCGGTATCCTATGGAACAGCTAATAGATTTGAACCATATGGTTGGCAGCACAGCTCCTTATCCCTTGACCAGCAGAGGTTCCTTACCACTTTTTAGTAAGTATTTGATAAATGTTTAGTGAAAAGAAGGAAAAAGTAGCAAAGAAGTTGCCTGGAAGGAGGTTAGAAAAGAAAATTTGTTGTTGTGGTGGTGGTGTACTGTCAAGTTGATTGGATTCAACCTTGAATCATCATAGTGACCCTTTGAACAATAGATCTAAACCTTGCCTCATCTTGTGCCATCCTTTCCATCTCTGACACACGTGAGCATATGGCTACAGTCACTGGGTCAATCCATCTTGTTGAGGGTCTTCCTCTCTTATGCTGAACCTCAGTGTTTCCAAACATGATGTCCTACCCCAAGGACTAGGCACTCCTAACAATGTGTCCAAAGTATGTGAGACAAAGTTTCACCATTCTTGTTTCCTATAGTATGACATATAGAAAGTACACAATAAATATATATGTAATAAATAAGTTACTTTAAACAGAGAGAAAGTTTGTTGACTGAGGGGTCCTGAGAGTAAAGGTGACCTAACCAATAAACAGCTGGTACTCAATAAGTTTAGGCTGAAGTTGACCCTTGGAGAGAGCTCTTGAGGAAGGGCAGGATCTTCTACAGACATAGAAGGGGACAAAGGTAATGACTCATATAAATGACACTCTGTAAGTGTTTACCAGCTTACATAGAAGGCCCTTCGCAGTATTGATTCAATAGTGGGAGAAGAAATCATGGGGGATGCTGAAGAGATGGGGAAAGGAGCAACTCTTACAATTTAGGCTCTGGATTTGTCAAAGGAAGAGCACAGGTAGGTTCTCTACCTGGGCAGAGGTAGGTTTTCACAGAAATAATAAAGGAGAGTGTACTTCCAATACACAACAGGCACTGCCTGCATGCTTACTAGATTCACTAGTAGAAAAGGACTATGGGGAGTAAATGTGATTATAGAGCACACAGAAACCCTCCATATGACAGGAGCCATTGCAAGAAAATGCCTTTGAGAAAAGGTGACTGGAATAGAGCACTTTGCAGTCAATGGACAAATAGTTACTAGGTCCAGTAAAAGAAAAGGCCTTTGGACATTGGGGTAGGGATTGATCACACTTAATAAGTGCTCACTGGATTCATTAGAGGAATAGCCCTTTGGGAAAGGGAAATGAGGATGCAAAAACTTGGTCTATGTATGCTTAACTCTCAAGCCATGGGAGGGAGGGAAGACTTTTGTGGAGAAGGTAAACAGCAATGCTTCATAAATGCTCCATAGAGTAATTAAAAGACAAGATCTTTGGAAAGAAGGATTGAAGTGGGACATGCAACAATATCTGATCACTTCATTAATGAGAAATAAAGGTCTTTGTGGGAGGGTTTAAAAGTTGGGTCATACAGAAGGTGCTCAGTACATGGAGGTTGAATTCACTGAAGGAAAAGGCATTGAGACATTAAAAAAATGTTTGTTGAACATATTAAAGGAAAGTGCCTTTAGGGAAGACTAACAAAGCTGGCAGTTTATAAATGCTGCAGATGGAGCCAATAGAGGAAAGATCTTTGAAAAAAATAGCTTGAAAACAGGGACTAAAGGAGATACTCAGTAAATGTCTTATAGATTCATTATAGGAAAAGGTCTTTGATAAGAGAGTCTGAAGATGAATCACATGCAAAAGACTGAGAAATGTCTCTAGAATTCATTGGAGGAAAAGGATTTCTTTGAGAAAGGGATTTGGGAATGAGGCACATAGCAGACACTTAATAAATACTTCCTGCATCTGTTAGAGGAAAGAACCTTTGAAGTTGGGGTACAGAGAAGGCAGTTAATAAACGTTCATACGACCCATTTAAAGATAGAGCTTTTTGAGGTGAGGTTGGGGTGAGATACATAGTACTGATAGGCTCACATTAGAGAGACAGCTTTCAGGAAAGGATTGTGAGAGACAGGGCACAGCCTAGGCTCTCAAAAATGTCTGAAAAATAAATTGAAGCCAAAGGTCTTAGGAAAAGGTTCCTCGATGAGGCACACATTAAGTACTTGACAAATGTTCATAAGATGTTTTAGAAATAAGGTCTTTGGTACAAGGTGGGGGAGGGCACATATTTAGCTCTCAAAAGCTCGTAGAAGCCAAAAGCTTTTCTGCTAAGGGGATTGGGAGAAAGACTTGGGAAGATATACACAGCAGACGCAGGATAACTGCTATCTGCATCTACTGAAAAGGCTTTGGGAAGAGGGCTAGGGTGGGGCACACAGAAAAAGCTCGGTGTAATATTTAAAGGAAAAGGCTTTGAGGGAGAGGGCCAGGTGCCAGGCACACAAGCAGTGCTTGATAATTGCTTGATGCGGGATAAGTTGGACTTACACCAGCTGGGAGACATCAGCTTACCAGTCTGTGTGCGGTTCGTCGATGACCAGCAGCACCCGGGCAGCGGCGCTCCCGCGGCCTGCACTCCCAGAGCCACCGCCCACCTGCTCGCTAAAGGTGGCAGCCGCAGCAGCTGTGGTCTGCTTGACTGCGTTAGACAGTGATGAGAAGAAGCCACCACCTCCCGAGGACCCAGGGCTAGGGGCAGCTGCAGAGGCCACAGGGGCTGCTGAGGAAGCCCTCTCAGCAGTGCTGATCGCAGGGCTTGGTGTGACCCCAGGGCTGGGGACAGCAGGTGGCGGAGGCGGCTGTGGGCGCTGAAGGTCTGTCATGTACCCATTTGGCAGATTGGCCATGAAATTGCTGTCCGACAGGCGACGTCGTAGGTAGTTCATGGCTGAAATGCTGGGCAGCGGGTCCTGAGAGCAATTTGACCAGGATCTTCAGCGGCGGACAGCGCAGGGTTCTGAAGTACAGCTACGCTCTCTCAGTCAAGATGTTGTGGCTCCTCCGCTGCCCGCTGCAGACTGAGACAGCACTACCGCAGCGCGGATGGTCGCACCCGTGCCTCCCTATCTCACATGCCATGTGGTGCAGTCCGACTGGGCCAGTGGTGGCTTGGACGCGACCAAGGCAGCCAAGAAGGGGAGTTTGCAGAGGAATGGTAAGTGACGTCAGTGTGCCTACAGAGCTGGGGCCTACATGTAGGGCGCAGACAGGCGGGGGCGAAGGCTCTGTCCGCGGTGCTGAAGAGAACAGTGCGCACGCGTAGCTCTGCATGCTGTTTCCCTTCCCTCTGATTAGGGATGCGTAATTTGGGAAGTGGGGGCAGGCTGGGTGTTTCCCCCAAATCCAGGGTCCTGAAGGGTGGTAGAGCAGCCACCAATCCTGACCTCGCCTCATCCTGCTCCTCACATCCACTCGGTCACGCAGCACTCTGCAGATACTCTGTTTCCATTGCTGATATGCAGTGCAGAAAGCATTTGGGGGAGGGGATGGAGGGCACATCAGACGCACTTAGTGGAGAGATAACGTCTTTACTGTGAGCTATGAAGATCGCATACACAGTAAATCTCCCACATCTTCATAGGCTCAGCCTGGCAGAGAGGGTCAAAGGGCCATGTAGACAGCATCAGACACACAGTGATACCGGTGTGGGGTACGTATCCTTGTCATGGATGGCAGGGGGCTCTAGAAGCACACAAGTTATATAACACACATGAAGGCACACACAAATGTAAGGACACACACGGGGGCGTGCACAGATAACACACCCAGATACACACACACACGCACACACATACAGGAACCACACAGACACAGTGAAACTCATAGTGGCAAGCAAACCCAGATAAAACATGCATCCGCAGAATAACAAACACAGACACACCTAAATCTATCAACTCCTCATCACTTGATCTCAACAACTCTCTCTTCTTAAAAAACACATATTTGTCTATATGTCCCCAGAACTCTATTTGGGGCCTAGTCAAAGATCACAGTAACTATCTGATGTTGTAAATATCCATAGCTGTCTCTTCAGTGCCCAAGTACTTTCCATAGACAAGGCCAAGCCTTGGACATGCACACAATAGGTGTCAAATAATATATACCAAGTGAATGAATGATATTTGTAGTTACGGCAGAGGCAAATTGTGCAAGTCATTTAGTCAGCTCTTAAAAGATTATGACTACAAATATGTAGTGTCATGGGTTTATTGTGCAAAATGACTTGCTTTCCTAACCATCAGCTGTGACTTTCACCAAATGACTAGCAGGGAATGTGAAATAGAATGTGTATAAACTAATCATTATGGGGTCTGTTTTTCTCATCTAAGTTTACATTTGACCAAGTTTAGCAGCAAATGTGGAAATCCCACTACCAGCAAGGAAGAGAAATCAGAGTGCAGTGTGCGTCCTTCAGGGCCAGATGTTTCTGTTCTACTGAGACCGGATCTACACAAGAGTAGCAGCAACCTAGACAGAGAGAGAACTGACTTGAGACTGCTGGCCCACAGAATCAGAGTCAAGAGCCTTCAACTAAAGTTGCTGGAGGACTGAGAAAAGATACCATAATTGGTAGGACTAAAGGAACTTGTAACACTGATGTAAGTTGTGAGGGTTAATGTCAAAGGACCTGAAAAGGACTACACTTAAGGAGCTATTTGAACTGAAAAATTGTGTCCTGCTGTCAACTTGTAACATATGGACTTCTCTAATAAATCCCATAATCATGAATATGATTCTGCAAGGTAAGTGTGATCATTGCAGTAGATTTTAGACCCTAGAGTAGAGCAGTAAAATTGGTGTTAGAATTAGAAGTAGGTTTGGGAACATGGAGGTCAATTATGGGAATTGATTTTGTACTGTGAATGTTGTAGATGAGGACAGCTCCTCCTTGTAGAGTTAATAGAAGTCAGAAGAGATCTTTCCTATGAGGCTTTCACTATTCTTACAAATGAAAGCACTTCTATCCCTATTTTGCTGGGAGTATTTTAATCAGGAAGGTGTGTCAGGTGTTATCAAAGGCATTTTCTGCATCAATTAATAGGATCATGTGTTTCTTGGTATTTACTTTGTTAATGTAATGAATCATGTTATTGTTTTTCTTCTGTTGACCCATTCTTGCACACTTGTTATGAATACCACTTAGCCATAATGAATTTTTTTTTCACTTTTGGATTCTATTGGCCAGGATATTCTTAAGAGTTTTTTAATCTATATTTTTGAGATATATTGGTCTGTAGTTTTGGTTTTAGTGAATGTCTTTGCATGGTTTTAGTATTAGGGTTATGCTTGCTTCATAGAATGACCCTGGGAGTGGTTCTTATTTTTCCATTTTTTAAAAGAATTTAAGTAGAATTAGTGATAGTCCTTCTTTTGACTGACTGGGAGAATTCAGTCTTGAAGCCATTTGGACCAGGACTTTTTTTTTTAAAGGGAGTCTTTTTATGACCTGCTCAATTTGTTCTTTTGTGACGAGTCTTTTTCAAGTGTTCTTTGTTAATCTTTGTCAGTCTGGGTAGAGTGTGGGTTTCTAGGAAATTGTCCATTTTCTGTAGGTTTTCAAATTTATCAGGGTATAGATTTTCATAATATTCCATTACTACCAATTTAATTTCAGCTGTTTCCATTATGTTGCCATTTCTTTCAATTTTTTTATTCACGTTATTTATGTCTCTTTCTTTTCTTTTGTTCAGTTTGCCAAATGGTTTGTCTATTTTATTGACCCTTTTGAAAAACCAGCTCCTAGTCTTATTGATGGTTTCAATTGCCTTTCTGTTTTCTATCCCATTGATTTGAGTTCTTTTCCTTATAATTTCCTTTCTTCTAGAGTCTGGAATTAGCTTATTTATATTTTTCTACTTGATGGAGATATTGAGTTAGGTCATTAATTTTGCTTATTTCTTTCTTTTTTATGTGTTTGCCTATTGCTATGAATTGTCCCCTTAGCTGTATCCCAGAAGTTTTGATATGTTGTATTTTCATTTGTTTTGAGGACATTTTAAAAATATCTTCTGTAACCTAATACTAGTACTCAGACAGGATGTTATTTAGCTTCCACGTGGGTGAGCTTTTTAAATTCATATACATATATATACATTAATTATAACACCCACAATACCACTCTTCCCTTTGATACAATTCTTAATTTCCCCCTTGCTTTTAATGATATTGTGCTGATCATCATCTTATTATATATTGTTTCCCTTAATCCATCTTAATATGCGTCTGTTATCTACTTACTGATGTTTTTTCCCTTATTTCTCTCTATATATATCTATCTCTCTGTCTCTAATTGCCTCTGAGTTGAGCACAACTCATAGGACCCTATGAACAAAAGGCCTGAAGCCTTTCTATAACTATTGTCATTTACCAAAGTTCATAGAGATTCCGGAGGCTTGTTGTTTAGGAAGTGGATGCCACTCCTGCTACCAACTTGTCTTAAACTGGGAGCTCCACCAAACACTATCCATCATGGGTAACTACGATGGCATTTGACACCCCGATGGCACAAGGTTCAGCCTTACAGAAACCTCAGGTTACCTCTGGAAAGCATATTGACAGAAGAGTACTGTACCACTTAGAAGAATGTTCCTCCAAAATATAATAACAACCAACTTTAAGTACAAGGGCCCTCCCTGAGGTCTTGTTGACTCTAAACAAGAGGATTAAATGTAAAAAAAATCAATATAGTATGTTGTTGTTGTTGTTGTTATGTGCCATTGAGTTGCCTATGTGACAGTAGCTCTGAACCCTCTCCTTTCCTAAGCCAGTCTCACTAATTCCGACACACCAACCCCCATTGCCCCAGATACTGTATCAATCCATCTCATCAGGGGTCTTCCTCTCCTGTGTGTTCCGTTCCTCCACCCTTCTGAGCATGATGCCCTTCTCCAAGGACCCCCCCACCACCACACACACTTCATATACATTGTTTTTCACACTAGATCTTTCTTAATTCCTTAACCCACCGCTCCCTCCACTCATCAAATTGTGAGACTCTATGATTACCCACCTGTCCATCCTCACGCCTCTGTTCCCACCCTCCCCCACTTAGATCCTCATACATGGTTTACTAATTATCTATTTCTACATTAATGATCTTATACAGTATGTGTCCTTATGGAACTGAGTTAGCTCACTTAGCATTAATGCTCTCCAGTCCTTATGGGTGGTTTTGGTTTTTTTTTAATTCTTTATCCATCTTGTCATTAATTTTTGGTTTATGGCTTTGTGGTCTGAAAAGATACTTAGTATTCAATGTTTATTAATTTGTTGAGACTTGCTTTGTGTCTTAATAAATGATCAATTCTGGAGAATGTGCACTTGAGAAGAAATCTCAACTTGAGTTTTAGTTGAGTGCAGTACCCTAAATATGTTTATAAGGTTGAGGTGATCTAGATTTTCTGGATATTAACAATTAAGTTTCTTTCAAGTTGACCTATCCTTTGGTGAGATTGGTCTATTGTGGTGCTGTCAATTTCTTTCTTCAATTCTGTTGACTGTTGTATCATGTATTTTGCCGGTCTGTTCTGTTCTATCTTCTTGATCTATTTTTTCTTTAATCATTATATAGTGTCCTTCCTTATCTTTTATGTAATTTTCATCCTGGAGTCTATTTTGTCAGAGATTGGTCGTGCTACTCTTTTTTTTTGTGGATGCCATCTGCTTAGTATATTTTCTCCCTAGCCTTTGATTTTCAGTCTGTCTTTTCCTCATTTCTTAGATGTGTCTTTTGTAGGCAACATATTGATGGGCTTTGGATTTTTTATACATTCTGCTACTCTTTTTCTCTTGATTGGTGCACTTTAGCCATTCACATTAAGTGTGATTATTGACAGTCCAGGTTTTATCACTGCCATTTTGCTGTGTTTCTTTGTTCTGTTGTTTC